AAAATAATCTTTAGTAATAAGCTCTCTGAGCTGCACGGAAGTTCTCTGGTTGCGGGCTGATGGAGTACTGGTATGGGCTTATCTTAACAGAGTGGCTTTGAAGCTGCTTTTTAAATCCTGGGGGAAAATGTTCTTGTGCAATGAGGCAGAAGAATCTGATTCTTCAGTGTGGCACAGAGCACATGTTTACAAAGCCAAGCAAGACGCAACCACATGACCTAGTACAGATGGAGAACAGTGCCACGAGCCCTGCGTTATGGGCAAATTCCAAATACTGGCCTTCAAAGGTTTCTTCTCTTTGTGATGTGGGCATTTTAGTCGGATCATACTGTGATGCCTGCAAAACACCATTTCCCAGCACGAAGTAAAAGGGGCTCCATAGGGGAATTGTGGGCACTGGCTTAGACCAGGATTGGCCCAGCCTGGAAAACTTGGCTTTAAAATCGGCTAATGTTGTTACACACAGAGAATGCCATCCTGCCTGCTTCCAACTTCCTTATTATTTTAGTTCTCAAGCTGCTTTTCCTTCATAACCTCATTTCCCTCAGCAGACAACCCAAAGCAGTGATGACCAGATACCAACACAATAAAAAAAAACCATTTTATAATAGAGAAAAGGAAGAGGGGAAAGAGCAGATTGAGGCAGATTCAGCTTCTTGAAATACATACATATTTAAGAATCATGTTAATTTTATCTCACAAGGAAATGCAAAAAGTTTAAGTGAAAATACACCTCACAGAACTGCCTGCTCTGTTGTTAGTAACTCAACCACAGCCCACCTGGCCAAGAGAAGCCACCCCCAGACTAGGAGCTCCCCACAGGGGCGGGAGCAGGAAAAGTATTGAATGATGTGAAGTGAAGTCCTGCTCCACCCCACTAGGCCGTGATCTCTGAAGCACAACTCAGGATTACCATCTGCCTTATCATTATGCATTGAATTATGTTCCCCACCCCAAATCATATGTTGAAGCTCTAATCTGCTGTATCTTAGAATAGGACCTTATTTGGAAATAGGGTCATTGCAAATATTATTAATTAAGAGGTCCTAATCCATTATGACTTGTGTCCTTATAAAACGGGCAAATTTGGAGACACACACACATACACATGCAGAAGGCCATGTGAACATAAAGTTAGAGACAGAAGCAATGGTGCAGAAGCCAAGAAATGCCAAAGATAGCCAGAAAGCTGCCAGCAGGCACTGAACAGATCTTCACCCAGAGACTCAGAAGAAACCAGCCCTGCCAAAACCTTGATCCCAGCCTTCTGGCTTCCAGAACTGTGAGGCCACAATTGTTTAAACCATCCACAAACCATCCAGTGTGCGATGCTTTACTGACATATCTGATGGAGTTGTTCACGTTCACCAGTTGATTCATTAACAAGCTTTTCTGTGTCCCTCTCATGTCTCAGTCGCTGATATGGGCTCTGCGGATGCACAGAGGGACAGGCCATAGTTCTCACCCTCTTGGCCTGTGCAGTTTCACACCATAGCGCTGGTCAGATGTGGCCGCTGAGCCCTTGATGTACTGTAGACTGCAAAGATGCTATATGAGAATGAAACAGCTCAATGCAACTTTATATCATGTGTTGAAATGATAGTATTTTAGATATTTGGGTTACAAAAAAGTAATTACAAAAATTAATTTCTCTGGTTTCCTTTCAATGTTTTAATTTGGCTCTTATATAACATATTAGATAACACACGTGGCTAGCAATACCGATCTACGGTACTGCCGTCAGGGCTGTCGGATCAGGGGTGACGCGCACTTGCCTCAAGGCGGTAATGGAAGTGGCCTCACAGATCTGAAGGAGCCTGAAGAAGGAGTCAACTCAGCAAAGCTGGAAGCATTATGACACAGGAGCAGGGCATGTAATTCGGGGAATTGCAAAGAACTCTTTAGGCGATTTATCAGATCTCTGTGGAGGAGTGAGAGGTGGACATGAAAACCCCAGTACGGCAGCATTAACTGAACACTCGCCAGGCACCAGACCTGGGCTAAATACTGCACATACATTCACTCATTTATTTCTCTTTGCAGCTCTATGAGTTGGGTAGCTAGTATTCTCATTTTATAGATCAGGAAACTGAGGCCTGCCATGTGAAGTTCTTTGCCCAGGGCAACGCTGAACAAGGGTTTAATCCTGAACCTGGAACAGCAGGTGGGAGCCAAGCTGCAAAGGAGCTTGTCAGTCACACTGACATGAAGTTCAGGAAGGCAGGCAAGGAGGGGAGGAGGGAGAACATTCACTGGCTTCTCTTGCAGACAGTGAGGGCCATGTTAACCAAAGTCTGGCATAACCAAATTTAAGTTTTAGAATAAGCCCTGGGTGTGAAGAGTGGTGGGCCTGGAGATTCTGTGCTCAGGCAAGAAGCTATTCTCTTTCCTTGCCCAGAAATAGAAACATAATCTGGGGAATTTCCTGTTACAACGGCCCTTGAGGGATGTAGTGCTCTCAGGAAGCCCTGTGCAGACAAGAGACATATGTCACATGTCCAGAAGTGATTTGAGGACACAGAGCTCATCTGACTGAAACAGAACTGTGGGTGACCAGGGCTCCTTCCTCGCTTCTTTGACATCGACTCATTCCTGCCATGACCCTGGCAACCACGGGAAAGGCAGGACTGAGAAAACAGAGGCAATAAATAAGCCTTGGAGGTCCATCTCCAGGAACGAGGTGGCCCCTTGTGTTACCTTCAGGTTCCTGGGCTTTCTGGCAAACCCGAGTTACCCAGAGTGGATTTTTCTTCCATTATGTGAGGCTACCTAGAATGTGGGATGCGTCTCAGCTTTCCTTCAAGAATAATAGAGAAGACATGGCTCTCAGGAAACACTGATTTCTTTAAAATGCCACTTTTCATATAATAGCACTTAGAATGTGATGACTCAGAGGTCCCAATTATTTCAATCCGGATGAGTCTAAAAGTTGGGCAACTTCAGATTAGATGGCTCTTCTCCGAAATGTGACCTGAAGAGTTTCTGATGGTCTTTTGACACCTGCTGTTGGACCTCATGTGCCCTCTTTTGGATTGTGAAACATGGGGGATAAAGTGAACAGGGTCCAGTGTTTGATATTTCATGTGTCTGAAAAAAATTACATTAAGAACCAAGATAAAATTCATGATGCAATTTTAAGATGAATTGTGAAAAAAGTTTCTACCCTGATAGAAAAATTATCTACCTTCTGGGAAGATGAATACACAAAGGCACCTCTCTTGGCTGATGGCTTCCAAAAGGTGACTCTCCTTCTGGAATCACACCACTTACCTGGGCCAAGCCACATGCTCTGCTGGAGGAGCCGGGCCGCTTTCCGAGGCCTCCCGTTAGATCCTCTCTATCAGGTGCTCTTGGGCAGGACACAAGCCCTAGTCACCCTCAGATTCTCCTACCCATTCAGATGGAGCGAACACAACAATCAGACTGTGTGGTTGTAGATCACTACAAATCATGGACACACTCACGGATCTGAAAAATTATTAAATCCTCAAGTTTAAATACAAACCAGGCCACCAAATAGAATCAGTCACTGTTGGCTTGTTCTATGATCTTGGTGAGTTACTGAGCCCCTAAAGTTATCCACAACCATTTAGATCTTGATATTTTTTTTTAAAAACTAGCGAAGTAGCGAACAGAAAATTATTAAAGCTCAATGATCAGAAAATCATTTCAATTTCTATTACTTTAATAGAAATATTAATATCTATGAGAAACAGGAAGAGTTGGTCATGTTAGGTTATGGTTAATAAGACCAAGCAGTTCTAATGGAAGATAGGGTTGAGTATTTTAAAAGAAGAGGAATTTGATTACTTTCGAGGGCTTTAAAGCCTAGAATTACATAGCCATCTGCTGCTGAACGGAGAACCCACTTTAATAAATAAAGAAGAGCGGCTTCAAACCAGCACATCAAACCTCAGCTTCAGCTGTACCAGATTCTACTTATGCTGAAATTACACCACGTCTAGTAAATTGTTATTTTAATATATAGAAGCAGTGTTTTCCCAACTAGGCAAGCACTTACAGTAACATTATTTATCCTATTTATGTGCTTATTAAAAATAAACATAAAACTTGAGCTTTTCAAAGCCAAAACCACAAACCCCTAATTAGTTTTATTTAAATTAATGAGGTTTTACTGTACTAATTTCTAGAAGTGCAGTATTGAATTCTAGGAAAAGCTGTTGCCATTAAAATGGAAAAAGGTAACAAGATAATTCAGGAAAAGGCTGAGTTAAAGGACTGGTTTCATCCTAAGCCGCCCCCAATTCAAATGTTTTTATACCCATATAGCATCTACACAAAGATAATCCAATTATAAACATGATGAAATTTATTATTAGATTTTTTTTTTGGTTGATCGATCCCAAATTTACAGTAAAAAGTGACTTGAATGGAGTTCAGCTCTTGGCTCTTCCTTACAAGTGGATGTTACCTTGAACATTTCTCTTAAGGTTTACCCCCAAAGAACAAAGAACATTCTGGAATGGCAACCAGTACCATATAATGACAGGTTTGAAATCAAGCAGGTCCCATGCAACATCACATTTTATTTCACAAACCTCATAATGTTTTCAAATAACCCAAACTAGGGCTAATACGTATGTTTAGATAAAAGGATGAAAACCTTTTTTAGTAAGAAAATGGTTGTTAAGTGAAATGGTAGATATGAAAGTATTGCTAATTATTGGTAATTTATGATGCAGGAGTCGAGTATATGTGTTATATGTCATCAATTTCATTTTCAGATCACATCAGTATCTTTGTATAGCAGCCTCGAAGCCAAGCTATTGACAACTTAGTAGAAACTGGAGAATGTTTCTAAGGGAAAGTCCTAGGTTTCCTAAGGAAAAACTATTCAGATTATTTTTGAAAAATCAATTTTGTGTGCATAAGCAAAACCCAAGATAATCTTAGTAGAACACTTCAAAAGAAACATTTTCCCCAAATTTCATTGTGGATATCAACTTGGTGCAAGTGCACAAGAACATGTCACAGATTCATTTTCAACAAATATGGTTTATTTGTAAATGATCAAAATAAAATGGTTTAGATTTTTCTTCCTCATAGCAATGTGCTTTTACCCAACCAGTTGCTTGCTTTCTAAGTTTGGGTTTATGCATCATAAATAATTCTTTTTTGGTGACTGTTATCAGCTGGTACCTCTTCAGAAGGAACAAGAAAACATCTTAAATTGAACAACATATCCCATAAAATTATTCCAGAAGCCAGATCTTGGCATCTTATAGGCAAGTTTCTTGAAGATCTATAAAAACTGAAACATCATTTGTGAATCTTTACTATCACTCCAGGTTAAATTTTAGGGTATATCTAGGAGATGAGAAGAAAGCGCATTTTGGAACTGCTTAAGAAATAGTAAGCTGTTAACAGTTAAATTGTCATCATGTCCTACCTGATTGAAAAATAATAAGAGTGGGCAATTTAGGATAATCTTCAGTGTTCAACAATCTTGTCAAATTATACATCAATGGATCACGAACCAAAACATGTGATCGCTATTCATAGAATATATGTCTTTCCCTGCTAAAATCAGAGAAAGTCTAGAATGGTGTCATATACATAATTAAATAGTTAAGGCAGGAAAAGGAGGAAGAAAGGAAAAGTAGAAAAAAAGCAGAAGAAAGGACAAAGAAAAAATATTTTCTGAAGTCCAAATTTGGGAGAAAACTGGTTAAATTCATACATTTCATATTGTCAGAAAATAAAAATGCCCTCCCTCATTACTGTCTCTTCTTCTTCTTCAGCAACAAAAATAAATGGACACAAACCTTTAACAAGAATTCTGTAATCTATTAAGTGCAGATGTCTTAAAATACATTCTGTCTACTTCCTTGGGATAAGGTTTATGCTTTTTCTAATTGTACACCTTACCTCAAATGTTCTTCTCTCTGTAAGCAGCCATGAACTCTTTCTGGAACTGGGTAAGGCATGACGCTTTCTCTCATCAAGAAGCCATCTTCTCCCCTTTGAAGAGAGTGGGCAAGAGAGAGTCTACAGTTCCTTCTAGGGTACAGGTTTCTGTGCTGTGACTTGCAAATCAAAGGCTCACATAGTAATTTATCCTGCCATCTGTCTGTCATGCTCTCCATCCTGCTAACAGAAATGTATTGAGATTGCAGCTGAGAACCAAACATGAACAAAAGGGACAATATCCTCATCTTGAAGACACACCCCAGAGGCTTAAACATAATAATACAAAAAATATATAACTGAACACTGCAGTAAATGACATGAAGGGAAATTATAGAATGTCACAGCACCCTATAATAGAAGGCTTTGATTCAGAGTTTAACAAGTCCTGAGAAAAACAAAACATGCATCTTAGCTCTGTAGGGGTAAAGACAGTATTTTGTCCATTGACTACAGCCAATAAAATACTTAAGTAAAGTCTTATGTTACATTATTTGAGGTCAAATAAAACTTCTTGGGCCTTTGTTTTTAAAACGATGTTGCTATCAAAACACCTTCAAACATGAATAGCAAAGGATGTTTATTTACAGTGGCTTAGAATGCTAATTTAAAATAAGCTAGAGGGTTTTAAGAGGAATGGAACTTAAAATTTCCAAAAGAGGTGGTTCTAGCCTGAAGAGAACAACAGTCCTGGAGCAGAGGTCAGAGGACTCTGGCCTCCATCCGGCATGTCTTGGCTATGCTGCCTTGGCCAGGTTACACAATCTCTCTGAAACTCAGTTTCCTTTTCTCTAAGGTAACTGCCATGCCCACCTACAGGATCCTTTTGAGGCACATAAGAGTTGATGTACACGGTACTTTGTGACTTCGTGACCACTGACATGAAAAGTATAGTGTAGAAAGGGAGAGAGCAAAGCATTAAAAAAAAAAAATGCAAGTCTGAATCACTTGGGGATTCAGATCACATCAGTACCTTTGTATAGCAGGGGAATTAGGATGGGTAGTCCCAAAAGACTTGATGAGCTTTTTGAAAGATTTTGTTATGTATTTATCTTTGAATTGCTTACTAATATCTCAAGCAAAAGCTCACGGCAATATTGTCAGAGCCAACTACTTACCACGTCACACTTAGTACCCAGAAAAAATACCAGCAAATGCTTTCTGCAGTAAATAACCATATGTGCACTGGGGATTCAACCTTTACCGAGAGAGGAATATGGCATTGTTTTGAAATATATGCTGGCTGGGTTCTTTCTTTCTCTCTTTTTCTTTTCCTCCCCTTCTTAGAAGCATTTTCAAGGACAAAGGAGTGAAGCTGAAATTGAGGAAAGTTTGACTTGAGAGAAAAGTGCCATTTTAATCACAGGAGTTAGGCAATAATTCTTCTTTGGCTTTATCTCTTTAGCAGGCACCTATATTTTCACTTCAGAAGCTTTTATATTTGTTGCTAATGACATGAAAGGCATTGCTCAAGACACAGGCTCCACGGCCATCTGCTTTGCTTGATTAATGGAGCCTTTCTGAGAAATCGTGGTCTGGAAGAGACATTTTGAACCAGTCCCTGGCACAAGGAATAACTTTCTTAAGAAGGTGTACTTACCAGGATTTCAGTTCGGATTCTCTGACATTGTATGTTAGATTTTATAAATAGCAACCATTTGCAAAATGTTCTGGAAGATTCTCCTCTGAAATTAGTCCATTTACCCTAAATAACTATTTTAATTGTTGACGTGTAACCATCTCAGTTAAGGGGCAGGAGTTAAATATAAGGAAGAATTAGAAAATAAGATGTTTTAAATACAATCAAAGAATGGATTATTTACAATGAAGTTTGAACACAGTTTTAGATAGAATTCCTGTTCACTCACTTTGATCAATTTGGTCCTCCAAGTTTTTATTACTCAAAAAAGGAAAGACATATAAAGTATGAAACTCCTCAGCTTTATTAATGCAAACATATTTTTTATTAAAGAATGAATGCATTTATGCTAAAGAATAGTTTACATGTATTGTAAAGCAGCAAGCATTTCCTCAAAAGGCGAGTTCTCCTCCATATGACTCCATGCTTATTCTACATGCCTTAAAAGTGGACCCTCACACGGGTCACATTTACACACACACCAACGCATACACGGACACACAGATACACAGACCACAGCGCCGACACCATTACTCTCTGGATTCGACCAGCTCTCATTTAAGGCTTCTGTAAGGTGCCCCAGTATCCCTAACATTGCCAGGATTAAAAACCGACTTTTCATAAAGGAGCAGCATTACCTGAAAAACTACTCCTCTGCTCTCGGCCTTAAATGTGTGCATTTAACCAACACTTGCAGTTCCATCCGATGTTGACTCTTGGCATTCATGGTATTTAAAGATCCATGAAACAGACATCTCAGGTTCTCTTAGTGAGAACTTTTAATTAGAAATAGTGAACACACTGGCAATTCTGACCCTAAGATATCACCAACTTTAAGATAACCAGGTCAGTTCAAAGTTAACAAGGTCAGATTTCCCTCTAGATTTAAGATGGATATAGGTCCTCTAGACAAGCCAAGTTTAGATAATGCACTCCCTATTCAAGAGCAATGTTGAGAGGTGGGACAAGACTTCCTCGGTGATACCAAATCAGATTTGAAGCTTGCCATGAAGGATTCACCAGAGAGGACCATCAGCTACATAAGTTACCATAAATCAGGGTTGAAGAAAGGACGGCCTACGTGGGGTTTGTTCACTTGCTGATAACTCATTCCCTCTTTCCAAGGTTGATGTTGTGGTTGTTTAAACTTCTATTTTGATGGTGTATTTCATCTGCTTGGTGATTTTCTTCCCTTTTGGTATCCCGCAATGTATGTTGAGAGTGTGTCCCTGTTGGGGACGTTGGCATGGGTAGGAAGGGGAAAGAGGGCAGATGGGCTGGAGGAGGAAAGGGGCTGTTAGTAGTTGCAAGTATTCTAAGAAAGTAGATGAAGTGAATACAAAGGAGGGTACTATTGATACAGTTATGTAAATAAAAGCATTATCTTTAACTGTGAATTAACTGCCAACTATCAGGTTGTTAGTTGTAAAGCTCAATAAAGGCTGTGCTGCTTTGCTTATTGAGGAGAGAATCTGCAGCATGCCGAGGAGAGGAGCTCTGGATCAGCTTCCGCCCTGCAGCCTCCGCCCCACCATCAGCAGCGTCCACCTCCCCGAGCCCCCGTGCCTGGGGGTCCCGTAGGCACAGCTGACATCCTTGCTAGGTCTCATAAGGCAAACTGGAGTCGTCCGTCACATAACGGCCGCAGCGTATTTGACTGAGAGTGTTGAAAATCGGCATAGAGATCTCCTACAGGGAGGTATTGGGAAATGAGGAAAAAAAACAAAAACGAAAACAAAAGAAGAGAGTCTAGAACTTTCCTCCCCATCCGCGCACCCATCCTCCTCACAGTCAGCAGCAGCAGATTTCAATGTAACGCAATTACTTTAATAATACATTTCTTTAGATTTAGAATTGCTCTTCTGAATTTAAAAAGCTTGCTCCACCAATAGTTTGGCAGTCTTTTCATCCCAAATGTGAATCATCGCTTATTCATCTATTGTCTCCAATTCTTTGACCGATGCTGCCTTTGCTGAAGTGTCCTGAGTTCTTTCAGCCATCATCGGATTCCAATTCCTGGGAAACCTCTTCGGAGGAGCTGTTCCTGTGGATCCGGCCATCGCTCTTCATACTGTGGAAAGTCTTGTTGAAGGCCTCCATCATGGCGTGGGCCAGCTTCTTGGCCTCCAGCTTGCTCTCACACTCCACCGCGTGGCAGTCCATCTGGTAGGACAGGTCGTCATTGATCTCCCTGTAAACCCAGGCGAAGATGTTGGGGCTCACGTTGTGATCAGCGGTGCAGTAGGCGATGCGGGCCACCTGAAAGGTGTCCATGTGGACGGTGGCCTCCCCTTTGTGGTCGAGGTGATGGAGCCACACTTGGAATGGCCGGATTTCCAGGAGAGCGTTGGCTGGAAAGACGTCTTCTCGGGCTAGTGTGTGTTTCTTCCAGAGCTCGATGACTGGCTTTTCTGTGCAGCCTGACAAAAACTGCATGCCTGTGGTGGGGACTTTACCCAGGTAGGTAACCTGCAGAGAGGAAGAGAGGAGAAAAAGGGAAAGGTGAACTGCAGGCTCTTCATTCCCATTGTTCACTCAGATGTTTTCAAATAGTCACGGTATCTATCACCCTGGGACCAGGGAGAAACACATTTACTGCTCCCTGAAAGAGTAACTTAGCAGAGTTTCTGCCTTTTCTCCCTAACAAGTTGCCCACTTGGAAAAGATATGGAAATTCCTTAAATAGAGGTAGATTTGAAAAATCTAATTTCTAGACAACTACTCATAATCATACTCTGATTATGATCTTTAATGCACTTTGGCATCTCTTTAAAATCATAAAGCCACTTAAGTTTATTTTCACCCAAACACACAGAATTTAATGTTAGGAGAGAGTTGAAAGGATGTTGTATCTGAGAAACAAAATCATTATTAAACTTATCTCCTTGTCTGGTTCTCTGAATCCATATCTCTCAATGTTTTATTTCACGTGAGCTACTGTTTCTGGCAAATACCAAGGACACAATAACTTTTCTATTTAAATTATGGCCTAAAACATGATTGTTTTCCCACCAAGATAATTTTTTAAAATATACCAATTTCCAGTTGTTTTTCAGTTTAAATAATTTTCAAATTGAAGGGCATCTAGTTATAGTGATAATAAATGAAAAAAGTCTACATACACTACAATGCTGGCTTATAAACAGCTAGATGGGCAGTATTAAAACTAAGAAAAATAATCCCGAATGACTCAAATAGTGTGTTTTTAAGAACTTGTTTACAACATACCATGAAGCAATTTGCATTCTTTTTTTTTTTATTATTCATCAAAATGGATAGAACTGCTACCGTTGGGACATTATGGAAATGCATAAGCTGAAGAAATAACACAACATAGCATATACTTCGGTTCAAAATTAATGGCACCGATACAAATACTATGCATTTGAGAAGAAAGACCAGAAAAAAAATTCCACAGAAATGGTGAGAACTGAGAAAAGACAGCTGGCCACTTGATTCCAAATCCATGTTGAAGTTTAGTGGGACTATAAAGGCCACATACAAAACATTCAGAACACGAAAGTTAAGTACTATTGCATCTTGTTATGTTTTATCTCTTAGATGAGAGTTAATTGGACAGTCCCCTTAAAAAGATAACTTATCAGTAAAGAGCCAAGTGCTGCACATTCTAGAAACATTTATTGGAAACCTATTATACATAATATACATAATGGCCAGGTGCCAGGTGGGCATGGGGGAGGGTGGGGGAGGATGGAAAAGGCCAGAAATGAATAGGAAGGAGGTAATTGGATATTTGTTCACAGTAAGTCTTGGAGGCAAGCAAAGTCAAGATTTAAATCCTAGCTCCACAGTTCACCAGGTGGGTGCTTCTGAAAAATCGCTGACCTTCTGCCCATGCACAGACATAACTGTGATGTAAGGCAGATCGCGAAGAGGGCAGGCAGTGACAGCACAAAGTGTCTGAGGGAGGAGAGTCATTAGATTTCAAGGCACAGGGGCTTCAAAAGCCAGGCAGGAGCCCAGCACGTCAGAGTGGTAGGAGAAGGAGGGGGCAGAAAGGCAAGCCATGCAGTGGGGAGCATCCCCATGTGTGGACAAGTAAGCCCTTTGGCCTGAGCACACGCTAGGCTGTGGTACAAGGCAGCTCTAGAGAAGAGAACATCAGGCCTGTGACTGCTGGACAAAAATGGGCTGAACTTTGGGGGATGGCCCTGCTGCAGTCTGGGGAGTAGGGGCTTCTCTGCTATGGTTGGAATGCCACTGAAGGTCTACGTCCAAGGAATGCCTGGATTGGACTGAGGTCATGAGCTTGGAAGACTCGACTGAAGCCAGGAAGGAAGATGTATGGCAGGGCTGACTCCTGGCTGAATGCTCCGTCAGGAAGCTGCTGGAACAGCAGGGCCAGGGTTCAAGGGTGGCCCAAATTAGGAGAGGAGGTAGTGGCAAGGGACGGAGGACAGGAGGAGGCAGATGGGAATGATATTACAGAGATAAAAGTGACAAGACTCAGCAATAGACTGAAGGGGGAAAATTACCCAGACAGACACTCCAAGTGCCGACACTCCATGAGGGACCACCCAGCTCATCACTCTGGATTAGAGTCAGATAATAAAGATGGCTTTGTCAGACAATGCACAATTCAGGGTTCTTCATTTATACTACTGACTGAAAATGCATTTTTTGTGTTAGTACTTTCTGATAACTTTTATTATTTTCAACAGCTTTATTACTTTTCATTAAGGTGAAATTCACATCATATAAAATTAATCATGTTAAAGTATAGGATTCAGTGACATTTAGCTGTCAAAATGGTCTACAACTATCAGCTCTGTTGAGTTCCAAAATATTTCCATCTCCCCAAAGGTGACACAGTACTTGAAGCGGTCACTCTTCACCATACCCCCTCCCTCCCCAGCCCCTGGTGGCTACTAATCTGCCTTCTGTCCCTATGGATTTACTATTCTTGATTGTCAAATAACTGGAATCACATAATTTTTTGCATCTAGCTTCTTTCATTTAGCAAGATGTTTTCAAGGTTCCTCCCAGTGATACCTTTTATCAATACCTCATTCAGAGGTTTACTCTCTGAAGGTTAAAACAAAAAAGCCAATGGGGCAAGTGAGTCTCGGTGCTTGAAATGAAAGTGTATTTCTTTCTTACTATCCACTAAAACTAGAAATAACTGTGTTTATACTGGATAGAAAAATCCTTCTGTAGCAAAAATAACTTCAATGCGCTCTAAATTTACATACACACAAACTTAAAAAAAATTATACAGCACTTTCTGTTGTGATATCATTAAAGGATGAGTTTAAGAAGTGCCAGATGACTCACTCCAATGGAAAGCAATTGATAGCAGTACTTTTTTTTGCAATGAAGAAAAAATGTATTCCTCTTATATATGTTATTTTAAGATTAAAGATTTTTAAGGGAGACAACGTTTTAATTTGGAAGTGTGCTTCATAAAAGAATAGAGCAGAGATTAGTAGCTCATGGAGCTGCAGACAACAATGATGAAAGCTACTTAATAATATGTAGTCAGTTATATATACAGTTTTAAAACTCTGAAGTAGAAATAATACACAGATGTCTTCTCTTGGTATTAAATTTATTATCAAAGCAATCTTCACATAGTGCCCCAACTTTACTAACATCACCCAAGTAGCCTATGACACATCAAGCACCAGGTCCCAAATCCCATGTGTATTACCTGCAGCCAAATCAAGCCACAGACACTGCATAGCAATCACTAGTATCCGTATCATGCGTTCAATAAAAAGCACTTTGTATCTATCAGATCCACTGACAACCCTGTGGGTCAGGATGAAATGTGATTATCACTAACCCATTTTTAAAGACAGGAAATTTAGGTCAGGGGGTGACACTGGGATACACAGATTCCATTACCAAGAGCTGGGATTTCAGAAACATTTTGATGATCTGTGAGGAAAATTACATAGAAAAGACAACTGGACCGTTTGGCTATTAGATGAGAACCATTCCCATTTCATTTCACTCTTTCAGCCATTTATTCATTTTCCTCATCTTTGGACACTAAAGGAAATTTTTGATTTATATGAGCATCTTAGATGCACTTGGTCCTCCCAAAGAATGAACAGTATTCTTCTTTCTGGTGCTTCTGTGAATAACAATCTTTGATATAACAATATAGGCCGAGGTATTTCTTTAAATATGTATTCTTGCTTTATAACTGCAGAAAGTTAGATCGAGAAACTTTCTAAGATTCTCAGGCAAAATGGAGCATAAATAATAAAATAAAAATATATATATTTATATATTCTATATTTAATGTATAATATATATTATCAGTTTATATCATACTTTCTAAAACTCAAAAAAGATGAATAACCTATTTAAAATGAAATCAAAGAAAATAAAACTGTGAATGCCAAGGCCTGCAGACTTTTGGCATCTTGTCAAAAGTTTTCCGTGAAAAGGGAAACATAAACAGTTGTACCTATACTAATCCTGATACGACCATTAGCTTCATCGTGCAAAGCGTCACTAAGCCTGCAGATGGAGACGGCTTAAAGCGGGTTACGTGAGGACGCTGACAAAGGCCAACGTCACACCAAATGCTCCCCGGGAGCATGTATGTCTGCTTTCACTGGGATTTGCAATGGAGGCCACAGAGGCTGCAATGGACAGACAAGCCCTTCCTGCAAGAACAGAAGTAGTGCACAAGGCGCGGCAACGCTATGGGCCAGAAAATGGCTGATTCTCTAGGGACAGCTGCTCTGCCTCGGCTGCTGGATAGGTCTGGGGTCTACTCACCTCAGGCCTGGCAGGGCTGTTGACTGAGTCTTTTCACAATGAGCTAACCTGGCCCAAACTTTTCCAGAACAATCCCAGTAGTGAACTGCCCTCTGCTTCCTACAGGATCTGGTCAACACAAAACATGGGTGAGTGGGTCTAACTCCTGCCACTGGGTGAACCTCAATGAGACTCTTGTTTTGCTACCTGTGTGGAGTTGATGACTCATCTGAAATCCTGTGAGATTACATAAATACAAAGAAATAATGTTAAGCTGGTACTTCTTAAAGAGGCACAGGAAAAGAATTATTTGAAAAGGACTTCCCTAAAAATGGAATGCAAAAAGATGAAATGATGAAGTGATGAACCCAGACAGCTTGGCCCCAGAATGACCTCTCTCAGTCAGCCCTGCTGTCATCGTAATGGCCTGTGTTCCAGAATCCTGACTTTGTGCACTTTTGCCTACTAAGCCAATTATTTACTACCTGCCTGCATACTTTCTGATTCTCCCACTAAATTCTCCAGAGTATGGCATTAACCCATATTGTTGACTATAAGTCACTGGAAAAAAACTTTATAGGCTTAAAAAAAGTGAATATCTGTCTTTAATATTTTATGTATCTTTCAATAGACATGCACCTTATGGTCCTGCTTTACAAAGAAAATAGAGTAAGAATTTCTAAAAAGTTGTCTCAAAATACCAAAGTTTCAGTTACGCTCTGCAGACAGCTGTG